GTAGTATTCACCCTAGGATCGACTGCGTGGCGATCAAAGTCTAGCTGGCGGCCGCTGACTCGGCCAAATCAGCAAATACGTAGACGAAATCGTATATACGAACCAAAGTAAATCCTGTGCGCAAGTACATGGACCGTAGTTCGGGTATTTTAAAGTAGCGGTACCAAAGTGTCATCCGGCTTAAGTTTTGTGACCTACAGTGAATTTTTCTTCTAACAATATCGTCCTGCAAAGTGCGGAATCCAGGCCGCCGCCGCCGCGTCAGGACTGGTGTTGTAGAGTTTTTTTTCGAACTGGTACTTGTGTGCAAACCTGGCCATCTGGGCCCGATGACACCTTATAAGGCCGGCACACCATTTTCGGCCTTTTGAATTTTATTTTATTTTTTTGAAAAAATCTATAGGCTACTCCCTCCGTCCGCGAATAAGTGTACATCTAGCTTTTATCCTAAATATAAATTTTAAAACTTTGACTAATGTTATAGAAAAAAGCAACAACATTTACGGCACTAATTTAGTATCAATAGATTCGTTTTGAAATGTAGTTTCATAATATACCAATTTGATTTTGTATATGTTACTACTCTTCTCTATAAAGTCGGTCAAAATTTTAAAATTTTGACTTAAGAGAAAAAGTAAAAGCACACTTATTCACGGACGGAGGGAGTACTCACTCTTTCGTCAACTCTTTCATCTCTGAGCTAGCTACTCTACAGGCTCTCGCGAGAAATCATGTTCTGCAAACTTGAGCTACTGCCAGGAAACCGGAAGAGAGGTATGTGTGGAAGGCTCCTAGCCCGAGAGCTGCAAAGATACATGTAGATGTGGGGCTATCGAGGGATGTCGGTACAGAGAATCCGAATTCCGACCACGGCCTCGTCTGGTCTGTTCGCTTCAGCCAAAGCCATTTGGCCTGCAACGCCACATTCACCCACCTCATATCGAGCACGCCCAGCCGCCCAGGCCACCTGCCCAATTGGGACGTCCCATGCCACTGCGCACGGGAGTGAGCTTTCTTAGTACAAGGGTCGACGACCTACTGATTGGAAGCGACATTTTCTCAGGACAGGGAACTGATTCCAAATAAAATCAAACTGCATTGGAAAAGTAGGAAACAGGAAATGAAAAGACTTCCAGTCTTTTAAAAAACCTAATCTTATAGCATCTACCAAATGCTAGGAGAAACAAAGGCAGATAGAAAGTGACAAGCTATCAAGAGTTAACAATATTTGAAAAAGGACCAAATTTCCTTGAGGTACACTGATCAGAGTGTAAGACACATAATGGCATGAATAGTCGCGTGCAGGGCATACAAGATGCAACTTCCAGTCCCAAAATTGCTACTGCCTCCGTCCTAAGTACATTGGTTGTAATAACATCTTACGTTATAGGACGGAGGCAGTAATCACAATAAGCAGATTTTAGCTTCCATCACCTGACGAGTCTGAAACTATGTACCGTCTACCGCATATGATTGTGCTTACGAACAACAATGCCAAATTATGCAACACAGGCAGAAAAGCAGAAACAATGAGATAATTATAGCTAGAAGATACAGGTTTAACAGCTATATATGGCTGGCCCTTGAAACAATATTTGCAAACCAGAACAAGGATTACAATATAACAAGAGCAACCTAATTACAGAAACTGTATCAGGATAGAAGGGGTCACTAAGGCAATGGCTCCTCCGAGTCTCCCAGTCGTGACAAGTGGAGGTAAGCGTCGGTGCCTACGTAACACAGAAGGCAAGAATGATCAGCCAAATACATCACGATGACAGAAGCAGAAAGATATACATGAGAATTCAGGTAAACATTGACAAATTATCCAAGGTTCACGCTGAGAGATTAGCAGAAACAAAGCAAAATATGACCGTACCGTATCCCTCCATGGATATGATTTGTAGGTCGCCACCGAAATATCGCGCATAAAGGCGACTAACTGGAAGTCCAAAACCATATCCAGCCATAGTCACTCCTTCACTAGGGCCCTCCATATCAGGTAGATTCTTTGCAGTGCTGTAAAGATATGTGAAAATTCTAGGGAGCCCACTTCTCCGTATTCCACCGCCTTCATCACTGACCTGCATTATCGAAACAATGAACTCCAACGACCCTTGGGAATGGTTCCTTATGATGAATATTTGACAGGAATGGGCCTCATATGTTCCACAAATCTTAGCGGGTTATAGCTTCTAGCATAAGAAGACAACTATCACATACAAGAATTGATATCTAGCACTTTGACAATGGATCCAGTTTTAGGACAGTAATGACATGTCAGCAGACATGCGCCGTAAAACAATATAGTAGTGTCTGCAGCTTCATCGAAAGTATCAGCATAGAGTAACAATAATGTCCTAGTTAGGCACTAAACTAGAATGGACATGCATTCGAATTGGTGTTTTGGTTTAGATTTGCACTCAGCAGTCCACATTAATCCATATCTTTCTTAGTCAGGTTGTAACCCAATATTAAAATACAAATCAAGTAATTCACAATTGCATTTATGCACAGCCTAGTAACGCGAGATGCTAAATTCATACAAAGATAGGTATCAGTAGATTTTTTTTTCTCTCAAGAAATGCAAAAACACTTTGTGTTTCATTTCATTGGAAAGGTAGAGAGGTTCATATACATGGAGAAAAGTTCAGAAGCCTCGATGAGGCCTGACACAGTGCCCGGAAGAAAACAAACCAAACAAGGGAATTTTATCGGTCATTGCACATATTTGCAAACTGCAATGTTTTAGTAACTGCTTGTGCACTCTTTAGCCTAGAATGTACCAAATAGATGCTAGGTGGTATCAAGGAAATCATACCTTAATAGTAACATCCTCTGTTCCATCAGCAACTATAATTCTGACAGGAGGAACATCTTTATCAGAATTCATATATCTTTCCTGTACTGCACGAAGGGAATTTTTCACCAGTTCAAACAGCATGAGATGAAGATGCGATGTGACATATCTGCACATAGTTAATTGCAAGTAGTTAGTTAGCAAGACAACAACAAATGAGGCCACTCAATCAACATGATAACAAAAACTATAAGCCAATGAACATGTAACCTGACAAGTGACAACAAAGAGGTGCTGTTGCTAACACATGATTTAATCCACCAAAAAAACAAAGGTGATTGGTGGAGTTTATATCTGAAACTTACGGAAATGTTAAATTTTGATCTCCATAAATGTTGATGTCAGGAGCTGATCCGTATTCCCTCATACAAATGGAACGGGCATCCTCACTAGCAATTTGAGCTACCTGTATGGGGGACAATTTTGTATTGATGAGGCCTATGACGCCAGGCTGTGGTTCAGGTTCATGCAGAGCCACATGCTGCCCTGAAATTAAGCAAGTCGGTCTAATTCAGAACAAGTTTCTAACAATTAGCACTCGACTTAAGTATAAATGATTTGATACAGAATTTACACATTAAGCAAACATATTTACCATTTTTCAGTTTTTAAGCCATATAACAGTACAGTTAGCTCAAGTAGCATATCATGAAGTTTGAACATAAAAAATATCAAGTAAGCAACCAAAATAGAACTGTCTATCAATACAAGTCAAATTTGCAAATCAGCCAAAGATAAGGATTCTGCTTGACAGCTTAACATTGAACTTCAGTATATGACTATATGTTACTACTGAATCAGCTGTTAGAAAAGGCACATGATCCATCACTTGTTCCGAATCACAAGCAAGATTTAGGATAGAATGACAAGAGCTTAGACAACGTTTATAAATATAGCTCCAGAGAGAAGAGTAGTACCAAGCTCACAAACCTATGAGCATGCGAATACCAATCCTTGACATGTAAAATCGATCGAGGAACCCGTGGATCTCGTCGAATCCTGGGGGAAGCTTCCTTGAGCTGAACTGTTCGTTTTTCAGCTGTTGCACTCCCAAAGCCATAGTCGGTACCACGTTATTGTGCCGCACTTTGATCATCTTAATCATCTGCGTGAAAGCAAGCTCGTCGTCCCGATTCCTCACTTCTGGGAAATATCGGATGTCGCGGAACGAGTCCAAGTACCAGTCCCTCACCTTCACAATCGTCAACGGACAAACCATCAGTCCCACACAAGGATGCTCAGTTTGGCAGGAATCAGTAAATCCAGCTGTGAGTTTTTTTTTCTCGGTAAATATTTACTATTCAATGAATTCAGATTCACTAGTATTGACGTGATAAGGTCAGGAAGACAAAACAGCACGACAAAAGCTTCAAGCATATACTCATACAAAAAGCATGTGAGCCCACTACCGAACTCCTATTAGGAAAAAAAATTAAACAAGTTGGCAAGCAAGAGTCTTCAAAAGTTCCTCCTTAATCCCTATCCTACGATAACTTTACATGTTGATGACCGATTGAAGTGGAAATGAAAAATGAAATAAACTAAACAGCACATCAGTTGGTCACTCAAGAGTTCAACTAGTATCATCCTGAATCAGTACAGCAATTTAGGTACTGACACAGTGGTCCTATCTTCCTCGCATTCCAAATCCCATGACAAAAACTGACACCGCATCGAATCCTAACAGTAAACACGGAGATATACCAAAAACATCCGCTGACCTTTTAAAAATGATCCGGAGAAAACATCCTCGCAAGACAGTAAGGATACAGACAGCAAAATCATCATCTCCCCAAGCAAGCAGAGCAAAAAATTGGGCGCTCACCGAAGCATGTCAAATCATCGACGGGACAGACTGACAAAAGCAAGCCATCAAGGACAACGGCCAACGGCAATTCCAACCTAGTCTAGCCTAGCGTCAAATCGAAATCAACCACCAAAATCAGCGCAGGGGCGGGTGGGGCGGAGACCTTGAGGATGGCGGGCTTGGCGGAGAGGCCGAAGGGGAGGGACTCGAGCTCGAGCGCGCGGCGGGCGATGCGGATGGGGAGCTCCTTTTGCAGGAACTGGGCCGAGAGCAGCAGGTTGCGGTCCGTGGGGACGGACCCGAACTCCATCATGTACCGCAGGCTCACCCCCGTCTGCTTCATGCTGCCCCACCGCCCCACCTCCTCCGCCACGGCCCGCGCCACCGGCTCCGACGCCATCATCCCTCCGCCGCCCGCCGCCGCCACCGCTCGCCGACGCGGAGCCGGGTAACCGCCGTGCAAACAGGAGGATTAGGGGGGGCAGGCGGCTAATTAAGGCGGCATCAGGGGGGAGAGAAGCCTTGTGGCCAAGGGAAGCCGGGTTTTGTGCCGGCGATTTATAGAGGAGTGAAGCGGATCTTCGCTGGGCTCGGGTGTCAGTGAGTGGCCTCGAACGGTATCTGCCAGTGGGCCCGGGTTTCAGTGGGCGGGGCTCGCCCGTGTGGATGGTATCCGAACCGGGGGGAATCGGTTCTGTGTGCGGGCGCTTTAGCGCAGCCGGCCCACAGATCGCGCATGAGCTTATCCATGGGGATTTGGGGAATAAATCCGGGCAGAATTCGAGTAGTACCAGGTTGCGCAACTAAAATGTTCTAACACGATCAGAAAAAAAAACTAGAATGTTCTAATGATGGCAAATTAATCTCTTTGAAAACATTTACTGCATCAGTGTACCTTCTTGAAAAGAAAAACCGTCTAGGTGAGCTTAGGTTCTATGAACTTGGTCACCCTTCGTGTGAATCTTTTTTACAATAACGTCCGCATCTGTTAGAATTTCGCCGGTAATTCAAGATGCATTTCTATGAACTTGATCACCTTTCACGCGAATCTGTTTTACAATAATGTCCGTATCAATGAGAATTTTGCTACTACTTCAAGGTGCACTCTGCAAACTTGATCACCTTTCATGTAAATATGTTTTACAATAATGTTCATGTCGATCGGAATTTCGCCAATACTTCGAAATGCGTTCTACTCCCTCCGTTCCAAATTACTCGTCGCAGAAATGGATGTATCTAGAACTTGGTTACCCTTCAAGCAAATTTGTTTTACAATAGGGCCGTACTAGGCGCCTGTCGACCGGCCTAAATTTTTTGGTTGCTTCCTGCAAAAACTGAAGATAGTGGTAGCAAAATTGATACAGTGGTTACATCAAATAAAACATGGTAGCAAAAAATTTGGTTCGATTCTAGCAAAAATTGAAGATGGTGGTAGAAAATTGGTATATTGGTTCCAGCAACACAAACGTGGTAGCAAAAAATTGACTGGTTCCAGCAAAAAACCAAGACGATGGTAGCAAATTTGGGGCTGCTTCGAGCAAAAAAACTCGCTGGATCTCCAGCACTTGTCGCCGTGTTTCCAAACGCCTTGAACGCCAGCCGTCGCGGCTCTCCAACACTTGTCGCCACCGTCTCCAACATCGGTGGCTCCTGGTTGCAGCACCTGCCGCCGTCGTCTTCAGTATTGTAGGGGTTGTTTGGATTGTGACTATCTTTGCCATATATTGCCACATGATTTTTGCTATACTTGGCACACTTGCCTTAGTTGAGTTGCTCAAATTGTTAGCCACACTTTGGCTTGCCTAAGAGAATCTTGCCACACTTTTTGTGTCTATGGCATGTGGGGTTCACTGCTCATAAAAAATACTTGCCTTAGGTGTGGCTAGAACCAAACACCTATCTAACTTGGTCAAACTTACCTAAGGTTAGGTGTGGCAAAGTGTAACGCCCCAGATGTAACTTTCCATATTTGTATCCAACTCTTGCCGTCTCCGGCACTAAGTTATATTTATTTCTCGGGTTTGGGTCTTTGTCTCCGTGTGTTGTTTTCTTTTTCGTGCATCTCTTATCATGTCATCACGTGCATTGCATTTGCATACATGTTCATCTCATGCATTCGAGCTTTTTCCCCGTTGTCCGTTTTGCATTCCGGCGCTTCGTTCTCCTCCGGTGGTCATTTCTACCTTTCTTTCTTGTGTGGGGTTAAACATTTCCGGATTGGACCGAGTCTTGTCAAGCGGCCTTGGTTTACTACCGGTAGACCGCCTGTCAAGTTTCGGGTCATTTGGACTTCGTTTGATACTCCAACGGTTAACCGAGGGACCGAAAAGGCCTCGTGTGTGTTGCAGCCCAACACCCCCCAAATTTGGCCCAAAACCCACCAAACTCTGCTCCATGTCCTAGAGCGTTAGATCACGATCGTGTGGGCGAAAACCGCACCTCATTTGGACTCTCCTAGCTCCCTCTATGCCTATATATACACCCCTCCGTTTTCGGATCTCTCCCTCTCCCCGAAACCCTAAA